TTGCGTCATCAATTGTGCATGGATTGTGAACATTAATACAGAAAGGTGCTCACTTCTCATTTTGTGAAAATTTCCGAGGGACAGAATCAATTACCGTGGGCGTACCACTGAACTCTATACTGGAATGGGCATCTCCGCTGTGATGCATAGAAAGTCATGGCCGCGATTTTCTGTAACAAAAATAACATCTTATTTTGTACTAAATAGTACTGAATAGATTATAATTTCTTTTCTGTTAGATCTGCTTACAAAATCGATTGATCAGTCGCCATCTTGGCTCGATCAGATGCCTGAGCAAATCAGAAGTGTTCGCGCGCGCGTTGCGATCATGGTGGAAGGGATAGTGGGTGCATTCAGTAGAAAAGAGCGCTACGGAACTATCCGCTGAATGGCGCACTTTTCGCATCGCTCTCTCAACATGTTGTAGGAGCGGACGCCATCTTATTGAGCGGAAATATTTGTTGCTACTTCGATGGAGCTCATCGCTACTTATCACATGTATATCTTTTGCAGTGTTTATAAAAGTGATACTTTGCTCAATTTTATCATGATGACTGAATATTTCGAGTCTGAATATAATTATAATGGCTTGCAATATATCCTGCCTCTCACTCTAATCGTCTTTCTACCCACACCATTGCCATCAGCGGTCCATTCTAGATGTCGATGGTTGTAGGCCGAAATTTGTAATATATTTTGCTTTGGAATTGTTTAACAAGTAAAATTCGAATTTTTGTGAAGTTAATAGTAATAATGATTAAACAATCTCTTTCATTGCGATTTCATTTTCTTTAATAATAAAATATGCAAAAATTATAAAGACAGGTAATCAATAAATGTTATCAATCTTATATCAATAAATATTATAATTAATAAATATTTTCTATTTCAGATTCCAATTTTTTTAATTCATATATGAAAACCAACGTGGGTTGCTTGGAAGCTACTGCATGCGATGAACCTTCGAATGATAGCATCTTTCAAACTGAAAGTCTAAATGACTGCATGACAAGTAGTAAGTAATCTAAATGAAATATTTATTCATAATCAATTAGTAATCAATTTATCATGCATAATTATGTTATACATAAATTTGATTGTATTTTATTTCATTATATGTATTTTATATTTCAGATTCTGTTAATATATCAGATGAGGAAAGTACGATGCACCGTACGTGGACAGTCCGGAGTACAAAGTTTTTGTTGGAACTTTTTAAGGAACGCAAAAACAAGTTCCGTGATCCAAAAATTAGAAAAAGGTCTTTGTGGACGGATATTATGAAGGAAATGCAAAAAATGGGTTATACAGATGTAAACGAGGATATTCTTGATCGAAAACTATGGAACTTAAAGAAAACTTACCGTTCTATTAAAGACAATAATAAAAAAACCTCAACAGGAAGGGGTAGAATTACGTGGGAATATTATGATATTTTTGAAGAAATATTTTCTGACGATCGGACCATAAACTTCGGTTCGACAATATCTTCGTTCAATCAAGTCACAGACCAGGCATTTGCAACTGTGTCAAGACCAAACAGCATTTCAACAAATTATAGCCGATCCACACCTTCGCCACAGCTTGCACCTGCAAAGGTTATATCAACACAAAGTAGCAGCCCAAGCAGCATTTCGACAAATTTCAGCCGATCCACACCTTCTCCACAGCTTGCACCTGCAATGGTTACACCAATAGAAAGTGGTCTCTCAATGAACTGCACTCCTACTCTACAGTCGAATGCAAGATCTTCGCCATTGTCTAATCCGATTGCTGCTGATTCATTTATAGAATTAGATATTAATGTCAATAGTAATAATTCTAATTGCATGTCAGAAAATGAATATTCGAACGATAGGCAGAGTTCAGCAGAAATGTCAGATTCAGTTTATAGAGATCCATTAAAAAGTGTCCAAAAAAAGGCGAGATTCAAAGGAAGTTTATAATATGAGAAAAAAATTAGTTGCAGTTGAGGAGGAACGAATAAAAGCGATAGAACAGTTAACAAAAAGTGTCAAAGAAAACAATTCGATTCAAAAAGAAAGAAATGAACTTTTGAAACAATTTCTTACGAAAATGTAACTATGTAATAATAAATGTAACTATGTAATGTTAATAATAAATTATTATTTTTGCATATATATGTTTATTTACTTTATTAACACTTTATTACTTTGTATACTTAATTTATAAATTATTTACAATATAATTTCTTTTTTCAACTGCTTCCCGAGCCACAGATAGATGTTCAGTTGTTTCTAATGTATGGGCATGAACTGTAGAAACATCATCATCCTCCTCATCTATATCGTCGTATACATCTCCATTGTCAATTATAAAATTATGAAGCATACATGTAGCGGCTATTATATTATTACCGAATTCTGTATCGGCTATATCTAAATATTTGAGACGTCGGAATTTTCCTTTCAAGAGTGCAAATGTTCGTTCAATAATTGAACGAATTTTACTTAATTTCATATTGTAGCACACTTGAGATAGGAAAAGGTGTCCATTATCCCGAAATGGAGTCATTAGATTGACCATCAAAGGGTAGGCACAATCTCCAATCAAATGTTGATTGCGCTGAAGAAGTGGATCTTGTTGATCTGTCAACTTCTGAAAAAGTAGACTATTTCTGAATACACAGGCATCGTGCATTCTTCCCGGCATTCCAATAAAAATATCAATAAATCGTTTGGAATGATCACAAACTCCTGCAAGACAATGTTCTCCTTATTACTATAAAGTAAAAACTATTGTTTAATTTTACTTTTAACTTTAAAAAATTTTAATATTTGCCTTTACCTTGTAATATAATCGAATGAAATTGTTTTCTGTTAAAAAAATCAGTTGCATTTCTAACTGGTTGCTTTATCGGGATATGGCATCCATCAATGGCCCCAATAACGTTACTTATGCCATGAGAACGTTCTTCAAATATCTAAAATATGAAATAATTCCTAATTAACAATACATTTGTATGGTCATAAGAAATTTATAAAGTATAAATTCTTGATGTATGATAATACTTGCGACGATGTAGCTTGATGTTCAATGTTTGGCCATTTTACATATTGTGGCATTTACAATTAATTCTACAAAAGCATTAACAATGTATTTAAAAATACCATGTCCGGAACTTGTTGGTATACCAAATCGATCACCAACTGCGAGAAATGACTCTTGCTTACTCAGCAACCAAATTGTAAACAATATCCTTTTTGAAAGAGGAATATTGTTATATGGTTGTGTATCTGCATTTAGAAAATGATTTCCAATTACATTTAGTAATGTCTGAAATATAAAAATTGTATAAATTATAAATGTTTAATTCATTATTATAACTTATAAAAAATGTAAGTGTAGAAAAAGGGCTACGAGCCAAAAATAACTTTGACAATAAAATTGATGTTAAAAATAAGTCATTAGTTAGTTTAATTATGAAAAACAATATGAAAACAAAAAAATAACAAACGTTTCAACCTCTATTGGGTCATTATCAATGTAGAGATGACAATAAAGACAAATGTAACAGAAATTATCAATCTTATATCAATAAATATTATAATTAATAAATATTTTCTATTTCAGATTCCAATTTTTAAAAAAAGATTCCAATTTTTATTTTTTTTTATTTTCTTATTTTTATAAGATAATCATATAATAAAAGAAACTTATGTGTATAAAGTATAAAATATATGAAAAATTAAAATTAAAAATACTAAAAACGATTGTTAGTGCTATATACATACATATATCTAATATATTTTATAAAAAATTAATAACTTCAACGTTGAAATAGGTTTAAATACATATGTACATACATACCTAAAAAATAATTCGAGACATTCTAAAATGTTCTTTAAATTGAATATCCGTACAGGACGGAGTAGTTATTTCAAAATATTCTTCATTTCGCGATTTTTTTTCCTGACGTAGTCTACCTAGCAATATTTCGATTTCTGGCAATGGTACAACAAGACCGAGAATATTATTCATTATATTTATGTCAAGTCCATCATCGATCATAAATTGAAAAATTACGTTATTCATTATTAATTTTTTTGATAATTAATATTAACAAATCAATGCACCCAATGTTAAATACGTTTTCACGATTTTTGTAAACATAAGTAAGTACTATCCAGACGAAAGTAGGTAGGTTACGTTAGGTTACATTGTAGCAGAGCATTCAGAGAAATTAAGCGCTCCCTTTGTGAGCGATCTAGTAGCGCTCTTTTCTGCTGAATGCACCCAGTGCTATCCCTTCCACCATGATTGCGATCGATGTATTGATCGATGTATGGAAATCTATGTAGACGTGAAGCTTCTGATTTGCTCAGGCATCTGATCGAGCCAAGATGGCGACTGATCAATCACGGCCACGAATTTTCCTAGATGCCCATTCCAG